TTTTCGATTTACAAAGGAAGATCGTCTAATCATGAGACCAATCTGAGTCATGCTGAGGTCTCAGTTGAGGAGTTATCTGTCTTGAATCGTCCACATTACATAAGGCCATATTATTAAACCTTAAAGAAGCTTTAATTTCCCGAATGACCTTAAGTGGATCTACTTTGGCACCTTCATGGAGAATAAGATCTCTCTTTTGCCAAATGATATTCAGGAGTATAAATATTTTTATCAAAGGAAAGCTGCACTAAAATCATTTTCATCCAATTCCTGAAATCATCAAAATTGAGGTGTTCAATCTGAATAGAGAAAGCACCATGCCATATTGCTATGGTTAAAGGGCAGGAGATGAATATATGCTCCAAAGTCTCCTCCTTCATGCAGCCAAATTGACATAATCCTGAAGCTTGGATATGATGCTTCTTTGAGATCTCAATCAGAGGAAGAGCTTTATTTAAGAGCTTCCAAATAAAAAGTAATTGCTTGTAATTAAGGAAATGACAGAGCCCATAGAAATTTCCAAAAGTTATCTTCCGAGAGGTGGTTCAAGGGCATCTCTTGAGTAAGGAGACGGTATCCATCTTTGACCGTGTAGGAACCCAAACCAATTTCTTTTCCAGATCAACCTCTCAGGGAAATTTACCAAAGAGATAGGAATATTGTAAATTTGGTCGGCAACTGGTTGCGAGTACAATTCGAAAATTACCATCTTGTTCCAACAACTTGTTTCCAAGGACAATTAGGATGCATTAAAAGGTTTGACACTTTCTGATAAAGAGAAGGAATGCTAGACCTAACTTGCATTCGCCACCAAAGGTAGTGATTGAGAGCAATAGGATCACCATAGCCTATAATCCAGTTTAGCTTTCCTTGCAACAAATTCAAATTCTTGGCAATGCCCCTCCATATCCAGGATGAATTGTAAGGTATTTTAATAATACAAGGAGAAGACAAGTCAATGTATTTCACCTGTAGAGTAGAAGCAAGTAGTGATCCTATTGGAGCAAAAAGTATTCTCCCCAAATGTTTGGTTAAGAGAGCTTTGTTAAAAAGATGGGTTAGCCTAAGTCCAAGCCTTCCCTTGTACTTAGGAAGAAATAGATTATCCCTTTTCAGTAAATGAGTTCTATTCTTGTTCCTATCAGTTCCCGAAAAGAAGTTTAAACATTTACTGTCCGTTGAATTGCAAACCGAAATAGGAAGGCTCACACAAGACATCACATGAATGTTAATAGAAGAGAGGACAGATTTGATTAACAGAAGCCTTGAAGCTTAAGAGAGTAATTTTCCTTGCCATGACTTGATTTTGTTTTCCAGGTTAACGGACACTTGATTATATAACACTGATTTGCTCTTTCCTGGATCTATCCATGTACCTAAGTATTTACCAATCCTCTATGAGAAATGAACACTCAGAATATTTGACCACTCCAATTTTTGCCCATGCGAGAGATTTGGACTACAGATCAGAGTAGATTTGTTCTATTGATCTTTGGACCTGACCAATGGCAGTGTTTATCAAGGGCCATCTGAACAGTATTGCAGTTTTGAACTTTACCCTCAAAGAAGAATATTGAGTCATCTGCACAAAATAAACGGGTGATTGGAGCAGCTGCAATACAGAATTTGGTTCCTTGCCATTTTTTGTAGGATGCAAGAGAGAGTATTAGACAAGACAAAATATTTCCAGCTCAAATATACAAGTGTGGAGATAGTGGATCTCCCTGTCAAATGCCCCTTTTTGGATAAATAGGCTGAGAGAGCTCACCATTAAATAAGATTTGATATTAAACCATTGAAATGCATTGTTGAATCATTCTCAAGAAAATTAATATGGCAGTCCTCATAGTTTCATAAGATTTTGAATCAAGTCCTTATAGTTTTCTTTTCCTTTTTTTTGAATCCTCATTGTTTGATCCGTTAATAGTGTGAACCCTTCTGTTAATTCAGTCGTTAGTTTAAGTTGACACCGTCTTCTTCTCTGTTTATCGAACTATCTCTGCTCTCAGCTTTTATCCCTCCCCTCTCCCCACCATCATCTTCTTTACCTCTCTACCAGCTTCTCTCTCTCCTATGGCACTGTTACTTCATATCCGCTCTCTCTTTATCTCCTCTTGCAAAAGCTTCACTCTTAGGCCACTTTTGGTAGGTGGGATTGGGGGGGAGGGAATGGGATTGGAACAGGATTGGGTGAAATTGTCATGTTTGGTACGATGGATTGAAGATTGCCACATTGGTAGGATTATACAATCCCACCTTCCCTCCGGTAATGCCCTCTGATCCTGGGACTAAAAGATGCAAAAGACAAAAATACCCATATTATAATAATGTTAAGTCAAAATTAACCCTCTCATTTTTGCATCTCATCTCCTCCCAAATCTCGATCTCCATCGTCTTTCTTACGCATGCTTGCTCCGTCGCTCACATCGTAGCTCACTCCGTCGCTCACGTTGTCTGTCTCAGTCATTCTATTCATCTTCAATCAATAGTAAGATAAATTCTATCCCTATTTTTTCGATTATCATTACCATTTGTTTTTAATCTTCTTTGATGCACAAATTCTGGTGGATTTGGAAGATAGTTAGCATCACAAACATGAATCAGTTTAATAATGCTAAGATCATAAACGGTTCCTCAATGATTTTATAATTCCTGATTTGATCTCCCTCATCTAATTTGCTGTGCTTTATCGTCAGTTTTATCTTTATCAGGTAGTGTATATTTTACGTACTTACTGCCAATCGGTTTTTTTTCCCCAACAAAACATTGATGTCAAGGGAAGCATATGCCGAGGAAGGTTAAGGGGCATCATAGATTTAAGAACCATTAGTTGAGGTGGTTGGGAACAACATGAGGGGGATTCAACGAGGCGGTTAGTATACTAATTAATGAATGACAAAACTTGACATGAGGTTAGAGAGAGAAAGGGGCGTTCATCAAATGATCCCCCCAAAATTGAACATATCGTAACCTTACCTAAGCAGCCCTCTATATATTACTAGTATATTATGTAGTCATAGACCCATCGTCAAGTCAAAACTCCCCCATATGGAAAGGAGAGAATCATATACACATATATAGATGAACTGATGGATGGTGGAACTGGTAATTGAAAACTATGTGTTTCTTGGATGACTCATGTGATAATCATTGGTAGCATTTATCTAAGGGTCGTTTATTTGCTCTCCTGCTAGCTAGCTTGCTATTTATCTGACCTTTTTTGTCATAATTGTCCTGGCCATTTCTGAAAAGCTTTAGGATAAAGATTGGACTAGATTATCACTTTACCTGAGGTGTTAATATTAACTAGAAAATTAATTAGGATAGGTCAATTTTGTTACAGGAGGTCACCATCTAAGAGCAGGCCAAATAAATTGAAGAAAATAAATTAAAATGGGGTACCTAATGTAGGTACTGTTGTACGAAGAAAAGTTTGATACTCAGAGATGAATGACCACTCTTATAAAAAACTAGTTTAATGACAAGTGGCCTTCTCAATGATGAGGTGTTGTGCTTGCTCATATATTAACTTCTGCTAGTTGTGTATTGCATCTGAATTTTTTCATTTTGGGTCTTAAACTCTTTGAACAGATTACTAAAGGTTCACAATATTATTGTTCATTTAAACTTTGAGTAGAAAGTAACAATATAATCTCAACTTCTTGTTTTTTTTTGTTCTTTTTTTTTCTGGGTATATATTTACATGTATATATTCTGATTAGAGCAATTAATCTGTGTATATGATTATTTGTTGAAGGATGAGTTTAGTTCAAGATTAGAGATTTTTTTAGTACACTTCAATTTCTTATAGCATGTGACGGAGGAAATACAAGAATAAATATGTTTGTGTTTTTCTTTAAATGAATTTATGGGTGAATATAAAAGGGAAGAAAATAGAGTGGGATCTAATGATGGCATGTGTCAATGAGGGGGAATATGGGAGTAGCTTTCACGCTCAAGGAGTAATAATAAAAGGTAAGTGATGAAAGGATGCATTTAAGAGCAAAGGGCTTGGTGCAATAATCCTATTCCTTCCTTCTCTCTCTATCCCCTCTTATGTTAACTCATTTTATTTACACGTTTTCCTGTTCAGCAATATATTATTGTTCATTTAAACTTTGAGCAGAAAGTAACAATATAATCTCAACTTACTGTTTTTTTTCCTATTCTTTTTGTTTTTGGACATGTATATTATTTGTATATTCTGATTAAATTAATTAATATGTGTCTATGGTTATTTTGTTCAAGGATGAGTTTAGTTCAAGATTAGAGATTTAATTGTTCTTATATGTGTATATTGGTTACGCAGTTATGGCATTATCTGAAGAAAAGAGAGAACTATTACGTGTGTTGCTTTTGTGGGTGAGCATGGTTGAGGCAGTGCATGGATTGTTTTTTTGTATATGTATGAGTATCATGTTAAGGAGACAACGACTCAAAAATGTAACTTTCTAAATAGACTTTTTTGCTAAGAGATCTTATCTAACGAGAATGATGTCTACTAGTGATATGACATGTTTCAACCTACTTAGAATGAATAGGGCAACATTTGATAAGCTATGTTATATGCTAAGAGATGTGGGTGGTCTCAAACCTAGTAAGCATATGCTTATAGATGAGCAAGTTGCCATATTTTTACACATATTAGCACATCACGTGACGAACAGAGTGATATAGCATAACTTTGGAAGGTCTGGAGAAACCATTAGTAGGTATTTCAACTTAGTGCTTAATGGTATGATGAGACTTGGAAATATGTTATTGAAGAAACCAGAGCCTGTACTGGAAGATTCAAATGATGATAAGTGGAAGTGGTTCAAGGTAGACATACATGTTATATATTTATCATTAATTTTTAAAGATATGTGAGAAGTATATAATATGTGTTTTATTTGTTACAACATTGTTTAGGTGCATTAGATGGAACTCATGTAAAAATAAGAGTTCCTTCTCCTGACAAGGCTAGATAGTGAAATAGGAAAGGAGAGATAACGACAAATATGTTGAGTGTTTGCTCACAAGATGGGTACTTCATATATGTTTTGCCTGGGTGGGAAGGGTCAGCAGCAGATGGACGAGTTCTTCGTGATGCCATTAGTAGGAGGAATGGCTTGAGAGTTCCACAAGGTCAATATTACTTGGTTGATGCTAGATACACCAATTGTGAGGGATTTCTTGCACCATATAGAGGACAAAGATACCATTTAAGTGAATGAAGAGAGGGGCGACATCCTAGAAATGCACGAGAGTACTTCAATATGAGACATTCATATGCAAGAAATGTCATTGAAAGGTGCTTTGGCATTTTGAAATCAAGATGGGCTATCCTAAGAAGCCCATCATTTTATCCCATTAGGACATATAACCGAATAATAATTGCTTGCTGCCTCCTTCACAACTTAATTTGTCAAGAAGGTGATCCACTTGAAGATGAAGTTGAAGAGCTTGAAGTTGATGTTGACAAGATGGATAACCCCCCAATTCAAAACTTGGACACATCTGATGAATGGGCTACATTTAGGGATAATCTTGCAAATGAAATGTTCAATGCTTTTACTTCTAATAGGGCTTTTACATGAAAGAGTTATTTTAAGCCTTGTAACTTTGTGACTTTACTTGCTGTAATTTCATTTATACCATGCGTACTATTGTAACCTTGTGCTGGAATATAGTTTTATTTGCTGAATATGGTGGTAACTTTGTGCTGGAATAGAGTTTAGTTGCTGGAATATGCTTTTAACCTTGTGACTTATCTATTGGAATATAGTTTATTTTTTTGGAATATGGTTTTAACTTTGTCCCAACTTTATTTGTTGGAATATGGTTTTAACTTTGTGCTAACTTTGTTTGCTGGAATATTCAATGTTTATAGTCAATCAAACACGTTAGAAAAATCTGGAAAGTTAGATAAGCATGTGTGGACACCTGAAGAGGATGAGCTGTTAATTCATTGCATGATGGTATTGCATGCTAAGGGTGAACTTATGTGTGAGAATGGTTTGAGGTCTGGTGTGTTGAACACTTTGAAAGATATGTTGTATGATTTAATACCAGGATGTTCTCTTAAGGCCCATCCTCACATACAATCTAGGATTAAGAAGCTAAAAACTGACTATGGTGTGGTTTCTGACCTCCTCAATTTATTTGGATTTGGTTGGAATGCTGAGAGGAAATGTGTGACAGCTCCTAAGGCAGTATGGGATGAGTATGTAAGGGTAAATGTTTACTTTTGCAGTTTACGTATATGGCTATTATTTTTGTTAATGACCATTGGTATTTTTTATTTAGCTGCTGTTCACTACTCTGATTGATACATGTAGATTATAAATGCGATAGTAAATAAAATTTTGATGATGACCTTCTGTCTTGCTAGGGTATCCCAATTAATATTCTTGAAGAAAGGGTGACTTTCAACGTGCAACAAAAATAATTGTTGTTACATTTTTTAGCAATAGAATAATTCACATGTACCTATGGGTAGCAAATTGTGACGTTTGGGGTTTAGATTTCCTTGTAATGAAGTTAAATAACTGAGGTTGTAACCATTTATTATCCATTCAATAGTTTCATACCTCAACCAATTTGGTCATTTCATAACTGTTTAAGTTACAATTAATTTCATAATTGTATTTCAAGTTGTTTAATTATTTATTAATGATTGTAACTTGTGTTATCCTTACAGGCACACAAGGAGGTAGCTAAGTTCCAGAACAAGTCTTTCTCTTATTATGATAAGCTTCATGACATGCTTGGCAAGGACAAGGCAACTGGCAAGGATACTCAAACATGTGAAGATGTCCTTGAGGAGCTTCAAGATCAGACTGGTTTGGACAATTCAATGCTTGAGGCTGACCCAGATACTGATATGGATATATCACATGTCAACACTTCACATTTGGAAGACACTTCACGTGTCAATAATCAAACTGAGCACATTTCATCTAATGCAAGTTCAAGGTCCAAAAAGCAAAAGCGCACAAGAGCTGATCGTGATGACATCTTACTCAAAGGTATTGAGATAGTTGCTCGTTCATTTTCTGAAGGTTTGATGGAGGCAAGTGATCATCTAGGAATGCGTCTGGATAGGGTTGAACGTGAGAAATGTTTGGATGGGATGAAGGAGTCACTCTATGGTGATCTTATGAAGGTTGAAGGACTTTCACACAAAGAACGTATGGCAGCTTATGTCAAGATGATATCTGATGAGAGCATATTGATTGGATTTTTTTGCCATGTCTCAAGAGGGGAAGTTGATGTGATCCGTGAAATAATATCTCCATGAATATGCTTATGAATATTTTGATCTTTGTATGACCGAAGTTGGGATATTTTCATGAATTCTTTTCATGAGAAACATAGGAATATTTTGTTAGACTTGAAATATTTTGTTTCAAACAAGAATATTTTGTTATAGACTTGAAATATTTTGTTTCAGACAAGAATATTTTGATGGCCATTTGACATAAGATATGAGTTATCTTACTTACTTGAACTAATATTACAGAAAATTATAGTAAGAATTTTCATTTTCTTTTTATCTTTTGATCTTATATATTATTAATTTTAAAATGTATTACTAAATTTTAAGTAAATTATAATATTAAGGGCCTAGTGATAAATTTTTATTATAATTTTAAGGAATTATTAATAATTTTTTGGGATAAATTTTAAATTTTTATTACTTTTTTTATATTTAAATTTGTTGGGATGCGGTGGAAAATTTCTGATTTTCAAAATATTTAATTTATTTTTCCTTATTTTTATTGTAAAATGAGGCAAATTTTAATATATTTATTTTTAAAACAATATATATGACCATGCTGTCTTCTTTTTATTAGAAAAAGAGTGCATAAGGTTGGAGTCCCAAGCTTTAAAATACCAAGGGATATTATAGTCATTTAATTTTATATATCTTATTATAAAATAAAATAAATACATGTATTCCTTCCACATATTACCTCATACCAAACACAAAATAAAAGCCCTATTCCCAATCCCATTACCATTCCCATTCCATCAAAAATCAATCCCTTCTACCAAACGTGACCTTAAATTTCAAACATGTCCTTCTCACAACTGCAATAATACTCTCCGCCTCCTCCATTCTTGCTAGGCATATGGTGAACAAGATTTTCATTTTGGGGGGGGGGGGGGGACAGTGCACTACACAGTAACACAGTGTGTTGTGGCTAGCTTATATATTTTGTTGGCACTGACAAGTTAATTCCAAGACACACTGTGGATCACTAAATTTTCTATATAAAATTAGCTGCCTAATTTTCATTCAAACTTTCTCAACTCGGCTTCAATTTCATTCTATAAACTCAACAGTATTGTACAAGACATTATACTTCAGTTTTCACTTTGATCCCAGCTCTGGTCGAAAATGTGGCATGAATATGAATTGATGCGGAAAAATAGGGTCTTTAAGAGTTTGCTTAGAAGGGAGTATGTATTATGGCTGTAAGAAGGAAATGTTTGAAATTCAGAGTGAAGGTTCTGCAAGAGGAGATAAAGAAGAAGATGGTGGGAGAGAGAGAATATGAAATTACGGTGAGAGAAGAGAGAGAGAGAGAAACTGACAGAGGAGATAAAGAAGATGATGGTGTGAGAGAGAGGGGATATGAAGTATGAACGAGGAGAGGGGAGAGAGAAACTAAGAGCGGAGACAGTGCGACATAGGGAGGGGAAGCAAGTGTAAACTTAAACGAACGGCTATATTAACAAAAAGGATTTATGCTATTAACAAAACAATAAAGATTCAATGGAAAAAAAAAACTGACCTAATTCAAAATTAGATAAAATTATAAGGACTGTCATATTAATTTTCTAATCAATCTAATCCATTTAGCTGGGAATTTCAAATTAAATCACAGCTTTAATGAAGGACCAAGAAAGGAATAGGATAACTTTGTTGTTGTATAAATATATATTTATAAATAATTATATGTATGAATAATCAAATATGTAAAATTATAAAATATAATAGGAATTTAAATATAAATTTTTAAGGCCCACATATAAACGTTGACAATGTAATAAAATTATAAGGACGAAAATTATTAATACACACACATAACATTCAAGGGTCGGTGGTCCCCTGTTTTATATATGCAGCTTCATTGTGGAATAATGCAAGTTAGACTGAAGACGGGGCAAACTCTTGATGTGTCATATTATTAGGATGTCTTTGTTCTCATGTCTTTATAAATAAAATTTAGAAAAAATTAGTCTTTTAATTTTTATAATTTTGACATATTTTAATACTCTAATCCTGACCAATGTAGAAGCTTTTTACTTAATTCACAGAAATGTCTAAGATTCAAGGATGGGACTATAACGTCTGGTCAAAAAAAGGATGGGACTATAACGATTCGTTTGGTGCGAGGAAAATGAAAGAAAAAGGAGGCAAGAGAAAATTTTAGTAAACTCAATTTAAAAAAAAAATTGAAGAAGTGGGTTATCAAATCTAATTGAGCAAAAGTCCTAGATGTGTCCCAGAAAAATACAATGACTTTTAAGGATTAAAACACAAATTAAAATTTTTTAAAATACTAAAGGTCAAATGAAAGAGAATAGGGACTTATATATAAAGAAAGGAAACTTCTTATATAGAAAAGAGAACGAAAAGCACGCGGGGACAAATTGTAATTATTGGAAATTAAAGATACTGAAGCGTAAATAAATACTATGAAATTACAAAACAATGCTAAGAAATAAAAGGTGATTCAGAGAATATTTTAAGCTATAAATTAGGACTTATAAGTTATTTGAAGACCCCTAGGAGATATTGAAGAAGATTTCATAAATAGCAAGTTTTGCTGGGGGTCAAAATTTTAATTTCTGAAAATTTCATGTCATTAAGTATAATTATAAAAACTTTACCGAACAGAAAAATTTTATAAATTCAAGAAAATATGAAAATGGATGCTAATGGATTTTCAAAGTTAAAAAAAAAAAAAAGAGGTCTTCAAGGCAAAACACCTAAAGGAAAATATATGGAATTAAAAAGCAAACTTTTGCTTATTTAATTAACATTTGGGCAAAAGATATAATTTTTGAACTCATGCAGAGGTCCCAAAAACATAGAAAAATGAGGAATAATTATTTTGGGCATTTTAGATCATTTATGGATAGAATTATTTCCCAAGAGATGGAATGTACAAGCTTTAAATTATTCTCGGGTCTTTAAAGCGGAATTTCTCAAAAATTAGAGGGAAAAATAGTTAAAGGTCAAATCTTAGCCTGAGAATTTTATGAAAATACTTTCACGAGGGGAATGATTTTTTTGGAAGAGTTACATGAATTTTATGAGTTTGGAAATTGAATATGAAGTTTAATGTCATACGTGTCAAGAGATTGCCTAAAAGTCCCCATCATAAACCCAAAAAGAGTTGACGGGGGGGCTAGAGGTCTGAATATATCGAAGAATTGTTAAAAAGATTTGAGCCGAACTGATGAAGAAAAATATGAAAATGGATCTAATAGATCCAAGCCCAATTATTGATTTTGGTGTTTCCAGAATAACGCTGCTTTGCGTTTCCAAGCTATAATGTCGTTCTGCCAATAAGAGTCAATCTAATTAAAGAGTTAGCCCATAACCTATAAGGTTATGAGTTTGAATCTAGTTACTGATATAAGGACCTTGTTGATGAACAATCTGTAAATATCTCTGTAAACGTTTTCTGAGTCTAGAGGCATGCCTTGACCCCGATGAGCCCTCAAGAGCCAACTCATCTAAACTTTTTTATACAAAAAAAATGCCATTTTAAAAACTGTTCAACGTGTAATTATTTCCCGCATTGAACCTTTGAAGATACGGGAAAGAAAGGCCAATATTTAAAAGAACAGTTCTAGACAAGTAGTTTAAACCAAAACTCAAATTTTCGACGCCAGAAAAATTATAGAGTGGAGAATAAATTATACACCAGAAAGATTGTTGTTATCGAAATAGAGCAAGTGCAAATTTGACAACCCACTTAGAGATTGAGGCATACTTCCTTCCAAATTATTAACACAAATTCCCAACGCTCTTAAGTTGTTGCATGGATGTAGACCAGAAGGGAATTTCACCTATCAAAGTATTGCAAATGAACCTAAGAACCCAATCTTTTGGAGTTTAGAATATAGTTGACCAACTTTGTAGGGACTTCACCTCAAGATAATTATATTTTTGCGTAAATCGAGTAACAACAATAATCATTTAAGATGGCCAATCTGTTTGAGAATTTGATTATGAAATCCATTATACTACCTTCAGTTTTTAAGATATAAGCTAGTTGACTACTTTGAATAAATTAAAAAAGTTTGTTAAGTTAATTATTTGTAGTAAATATGTGTTATATTTATTAGAATACCTTTACTAGTTATGTATATTATATAGAAACTTTTAATATGTGTAGTTACTACAAGGATTACTTTAAAAAAATAGATAAATATAAAAGATAAAGTGGATTAGACTTCTATTTAGGACTAAATTTAGGTGCTTATGTGAACTCTTCTATTAAAGTGTTTTTCTTTTTTTTCAACTCTTATTTCCTGAAAGAAACTATTAGTTCGTTCATGAACGAAATCACGATAAGAAAAAAGAACACATTTCAACCAAGCAAATCAAAATGTCCATATGTATGAAGTTGTTCAAACTTTCTCATCTCCAAAAGCAACATACAACACGAAACATGAAAAATAAATGTATAAATAGTTACAATCCAAAACCAGATACTACTCACAACTATCAAATATACCAATTCCATATATAGTGGAGAAGTGTCATAAAAGCTATCCACTAATTCATATGACAATGTTGAACGTGGATAGCTTTTGCTTAATTGCAAGCAACTCCACTAAAGCATCTTTGATACCCATTCTTTCACCAGGAAATTCTGCACAGCATGCCACTCCAATCCCACCAAAGCTAGCTAGAGACTCTTGAATTTGATGTTCCACATTTGAATTCTGCATAACTTTCCTACGGTCTCTATCAGATAGAACAAGCAAATTTGAATCTACAATCTCAAGGACTCCATCTGGTAATGCTAGCTTGCAGAATTTGGGTAGACTTAGATCATCACGAAACATGCTATCTGTCGGCTTCTTTCCAGTGAGCATCTCTAGCATAAGTACCCCATAGCTATAGATATCCCCTTTTGTTGTAACTTGGTCACTTTCACCGTACTCTTTAGAGAATGTAAAAGTCCATAATACTTGAAGTTATTTTTAGGTAAAAAAAGATCTTTCCCAAAAAAAAAACATTTTACTGATATAAACAATTTTTAGTTGGTCTTAAAGTTTAGCACACTTAGGATTTAGTTTCTTTTAATTAATAATAGGGTAAGGTGCTTATATACTCTCAAAGTATCCACTAAGGAGCACTCAGAACCTGAAATTTTTTTTTTTTACTCTTATATTCTCTGAAAATTTTATTTCATAACATTTATTTCCTGGATCATTATTTACTGGTAAATTTAACAGTTAAAGACACTGGTCAAAACATATAATTTAATGGTTAAAGTTATCAGCGGATAACGGTTTGGGTATTTTTGCCACAAAAATAAATTTTTAGAGACTATAAGAGTTAACAAAAAATTCCAGGTTCTGGGTACTATTTTGTGAATACTTTCAGAATATTTAAGCACCTTTTTCCATTAATAATTACTAGAAAATAAGTAAAGTTCATAGTTGAGAACGTAAAAACAACAACATAAGAAGAGTCATATATACCTGGAGGAATATAGCCAATTGTTCCCTTAATTGCTAAAGATGTAGTTTGGCCCTCACCAAAGTAGCTTGTAACTTCATGAAGAAGCCTAGCTAATCCAAAGTCTCCTAAATGTGCCACCATATCATCATTAAGAAGAACATTACTTGGCTTGATATCACAATGAACAATAGTTTCTCCAAAACCATGATGAAGATACTCCAAAGCATGAGCCACATCAATAGCTATGTTCAATCTCTGTCTGAAATTCATATATAAATCTCTAGCTTCACCAAGTTCGTTTGCTGACAACCAATTCTCCAGGCTCCCATTAGGCATGAACTCAAATACAAGGGCCTTAAAATCATTGCCTTTGTAATCAACACTTGAACATGTAGTTAGAATCTTCAATAGATTCCTATGTCGGACCTTACTAAGAGTTTTGCATTCTGTGATGAAACTCTTTGTTGCCCCATGTGCTTGAAGATTTAGCACCTTCACAGCAATAAAACATTCAAAGTGTTGAAGAGTTCCTTTATATACAGAACCAAAGCTTCCTACACCAACCAAATTGGATGAAGAAAATCCATTGGTTGCATCATGCAGCTCTTTATAAGAAGCCGTGAAATGATCATTTTGTGGGGAAGGTGTGGAAGAAGACAACTTTTTATGTTTTCTCCTCATGTAAATGATTAGGCACATTGCAAAACAAGTAAGAGCACCAGCTATCACAATGATTACAAGGATTATGACATTGACTTGTTTCTTCGACTTACTTGGGCATTTGGGTAGCTTTAGTAGAGGTATTCCGCCACAAAGATTCTCATTTCCTATGAGTGAGATGGCTGTAATATTATCAAACACTCCTCCTTTTGGAACCTCACCATGAAAATGGTTGTGAGATAGGTTCACAATCTCCAGCATTGGAAAATCTTTTAGTTCTTGCGGGATTGTGCCTGACAAATTGTTATTGGACAGGTCTAAGATGATAAGAGATTTTAAGAAACTAAAGGATGAGGGGATACTTCCATGGAGGGGGTTCTCATATAGATAAAGTTCTGTCAACTGTAAACACTCTCCAAGTTCTGTTGGAATATCACCGGAAAAATTGTTTTGACTGAGATCTAATCTCACTAATTGCTTCATTTTACCAATCTCAGATGGAATGGGACCAATCAAGGAATTGGTATACAAGTCAAGCTGTATTAAGCTTTCTAGGTGACCAAAAGTTAGCTTTGGCATATGACCGCTTAGGTTATTTTGACATAGGTACAAGATTTGCAGACCTTCACAATGTTTGAGGCTTAATGGAATGCTTCCCTCCAAATTATTATTGTGCAAAGAAAGTTGAATCAGCTTAGTAAGATTTCCAAAGATATCAGGAAGTTTACCAGATAATTGATTTTGGTCTAGAAATAGCTCTCCTAGATTTTCAAGCTTTCCAATTGAATGTGGAAATGTGCCTTGAAGCAAGTTATGTTGCAAACCAAGGAAAATCAATCCGTTTAATTGCCCAATCTCATTAGGTATGCTTCCAATGATACGATTGACTCCCATATGAAGCCATTCAAGGTGGGAAGAGAAATTCCCAATTGAATTTGGCAATACACTGCTAAATTTATTATATGAAATCTCTATCACTTGCAATTGACTACAATTTGTAAATGATGAGAGAAAATCCAGGTCATGACCTTGTTCACCCCCAAAATTATTTTCGGAAATCCCAAAATTCTGAAGGTTCTGTAGTCTTCCCAAAGAGGTAGGGACTAGGCCACTAAAAGCATTTTCATATATTGCAAATAGTTGCAATTGAGAGAGGTTGGATAATGAAGCTGGAATAGTTCCCATCAACATGTTGTGTCCCGCATTAAACTTTCGAAGATTCGGGAAAGCAAGGTCAATATTTAGTGGAATAGTTCCAGACAGGGAGTTGAAAAAAAAGTTTAAAATTTCCATGCGAGAAAGATTGTAAAGTGAAGAAGGGATTATACCAGAAAAATTATTGCTATCAAGATCGAGCCTGTGCAAATTTGAAAGCCCACCTAGAGATTGAGGTATACTTCCTTCCAAATTATTGGATGCAAGAGACAAAACCTCCAAGGATGAAAGATTTCCCAAGGAAGGTGGAATATTGCCAAGAAATTCATTGGTATGAATTGACAACAGTGTCAGCTGTTGCATAGATCCAAACCAGAAAGGGATTTTACCAGTCAAATTATTGATTCCAAAGAAAATTTGATGGAGCTTAGAACAGTTAGCCAGCTCTATCGGGAGCTCTCGGAGATTATTATCACCCAAATGGAGAATTTGTAACTGTTTAAGATAACCAATTTGTTTGGGAACTTCACCATGTAATCTGTTATGAGAAAGATTGAGCAGTTTGAGAAAGGTTAAGTTACCTAATGCTGGTGCAATAGTGCCGCCCAAATTTTGGCTTGTCAAGTTCAAAGCTGAGACTCTTATGTGACGAGAACCGCATGTAACGCCTTGCCATTTGCAGAAGTGGACAGAATCATTCCACGTAGGCAGGGCTTCTGAAACACCATTGGTTAACTTATCTTTGAGAGCAAGCAAAGCAAGCCGATCAGTCTCTGAGCCAGTAGCGGCAGCTTCAGTTGGAAACAGAATTTGAGAAGCTATGCATAGCAGAAAATTGGTGGCAATAATGTAGGGGATCATTTTGATTGTAGTGAAGGAATCTGCAAAATGAAGCTTAATACTCGACAACTAGAGATGTGGTGATAGCTATACACTCCTCTGGTCCTTTTTATATAAGACAAAAAGAGAAGCTTTTTCTTGATCCTATTTAAATCACTTTCATTAAATTTTTGGGTATGAATATACTATTTTCTCGTTTATTTACTATAATATAGATAGTTATTTTTTTTAAAAGTTGTATATATTAAATAAAAGTTAAGTTGGAAAGAAGTTATATTTTAATCGAAAGCTAATACAATTTTAAAAAAAATTTATATGTGTGAAATATACTACAAATACTTTATAAATAGGAGCAGAAAAATATTAGTTATCATAGGCATTGACCACGGCTAAACCTCTAGTCTCCAAAGTCCGCAAAGTTTAAATTCCACTCAAGCGGTACTGTACCCACAAACGACTTCCATGTGGGCGTTGTTGACTAACGCTCCCATTATCAGGCAAGCCATCAATGCATTTTGACAAGCTATGTCGAGCAAAGATTTAAAGATGACAACACGGCATCGTTGTGATTGTGGTGAACAAGTGTGCAAAATGAAGCCATGGACACAAAAACTAGACATATTCATGGTAGGCGTTGACGGCTGTATCTCCGAGAATCCGTTTGGTATGAGAGAAATATAAGAAAGGGAGGAAGAGGAAAAATTTTAATGAGCTCCATTTAAAAACTAGAGAAGTGAGATTAAAAGCTTTTAATTAATTTTTGTTACTCTCTTATATTACTTCTTTTCTTTGTTAAAATTTTAAAACTCCACTTCTCTAATTTTTAAAATCAAGCTCTTTAAAAATTTTCTTCCACCTTCCTTCCTTCTATTTCCCTCGTATTAAACAACATCTAAAGTATCCAAGTCAGTGGATTTAAATAATGCGAAAATAGCAAAAAAAGACCGTGGAATTTGAAAAATTATAGACAAGGATCTGTTAGATAAAATTATTGTCAAAACCTATACTATTATTATGAAAACCCATAGTAATATTGTAACGGCCCCTATTTGCAATTTTTCAAATTTTATGGTCTTTTCTTGTGATTTTTCCTTTAAATAATACTACTGCCTCCACTCCATAGTGTAAGACTAAGTAAATTAATTTAAAAAAATAAAAAAAGTTACTAAATTACTTAATTATAACATGATCCTCTAAAATACTTACATGTATCATTGCATTATATTTTAATTTATAAGTGAGGTAAATTAGTTTTAAAAAAATGATAAATATAAAAATTTTACAATAATTTAGTAACTTCTTAAATATTTTAACTTAATAAATTAGGTTTTACATTAAGAGAGAGAGAGAGAGCGATAGCACTCAACTGTATATAATATATAGCTTGTGTGGACTGAGAACTATGTCAATATTTTTTATGCAGGCGCGGACCAGCCTCATTACTCTGGCGGGCCTAGTGTTTGAAATATCAAGTATCATTTCATTGAAAAATCAACGTGAATATTTAATAGACGTATTTCAGTAAATTACAACACACACATACACACATATTATTTCTATTTAGATCAGATATGTCAATACAAGATACCATGCCTGTTTGGGATTAAAAAAATCAATCTTCCATTATTTAAAGTCTAGACCTTGATTTCAGCCATCCTCAACTAAACACTCATATTTTGATTAAGTGAAAGTAGGATATTTGGATAAATTTTAGAAAATATAATTGACAAGTGGGTAACAGTAACTTCCGCGTAACTATAGTTTTTGTTTTTGTTTATAATTGATTTTAGTATTTATAGGGACTATGTAGTAGCTTACAAAATGAGTATGATTTTGGGCTGATAACTAATTTTGGCATGTGTGCGTAGTGCCTACAGTAGGTATATGATATACAAAATACTACCTCTGTTTTTTAATATAAAACTTAGTTGGATGGTTAGATTTAACCCTAAATATAAGATCTCAATTCAAAATTTATAATTTTCTTTTCAAAATATCTCTGTTAATTGTACATGTTATTAATAAATTTTTATCAAGAGATAGTTTCAATATAAGTGATTAAAAAAATAATTTAAGGAGAACCAGCAAACGAGGCGGCATATAGTTAGTGCCTATGTTATAAATAACCTACTTAATCAGTTTTCTTAATATTTCTAAGTTTTTTTTTTTCAAATACGGCCTAATTTATAAGTCGGTAGATGAGCGTGAGACAAATAAGAGAGAAAGGATGAAGAAAAAAATAATTAGAGAGAGTATATTAATCAAGGGTAAATTAAGCAAAAATACATTTAATATGCAGATAAAATCAAATTGAATCTTTTAAAAAAAGGACAGACAAATTCAAAATTTTGATTTGAATATTATAACCTTCTTAGATGTTCGGATCAGATTCTCTCAGAACTTTTTTCTTCTTTTTTTCTTAGTATGGGGAACTTTTTCCTTCTTTTCTCTTTACAATTCCATACGTTAAAAAAAAATAGATGGTTCCGATGTAATATCTTATAAAATATTAATTTAATATTATTAAAATTTAAATAAATAAATTTAAAATTCAAAAATTTAATCTGGACAGTTCATGTCTGTAACATAAAAACACTAATTTATAAAATGTTTTAACAATAATTTTCCAAAATATTATACCTGAACGTTATGTTTTTTCATTTAAGGGCAGAGAAGAGATTTTGAGGATCAAAAAAGAAAGAAAGAAAATTCTAAAAGACAGCCCCATAGTTAGGAAAGTCTTGTGAAAGCATTTAAGGACTACAGGAGCCTGACACCTAAGATTCAACTGTGGGACATAACACATGGTACCGTGTTTTATTTGAGGAAAAAAAAAAAATAGACCGGGCACCGAATCAGTTGAAGGATTAGTGAGTCAGACTAAAATCAATTTAAGATCCAATTGATAATATTAAAATAATATAATGTAATTAAAAATTAAAAAAATAATAACATTAATAATCACTAATAACAAAATTCAAAAAAATACAACAATAATTTGATTATAATAATAATAGAGTACAACATATCTTTAGAATTTCTCAATAACTAAAATTAATAATTATTGATACCAAAATAATTATTAAAATTTATTTAAATTTATAAGAATTGAGTTATTAGGAATTAAAAGGAAAAAATAAGACTAACAGTAATATAATTATGCAAATGTTTCATTGCCGATTCTCATCGGTTTCGCCCCAGTGGCTGATACTAGTTTAATTACCGACCGACTCAGCACTCAAATCAGATAGCTGCCTGTTTGGTCCCTTTTTTTCCTGGTTTTATGACTATCCATCGAACTTGATTACAGATAGCAAACTTGAAAAGGATAAAAAAAGCAACATCTAACTTCTTTATGAAAGGCAAGTTAGGGATAAGATTGAAGAACGAGCGAAGTCTTAATGTGCTAGCTCCATCATTAAGATGCCCCCAGCTTTCATGCATTTATAAATAAAATTCAATACTCTAATTTTAAATGTACAATTTTGACTTAATTTACAAATATTAAAAAAAGATGCTATTTGGACCATTATTAACTTTTACTTATTTAAATTTAAAAAAATACATTTTCCTAACAAAAATATAATACTCCTATGATCTTATTACAAGACAGAAAAAGCTTTTTTTTTGTTCTATTTATAAATCATTTTATTAAATTTTTAATATAAATGTACTCTTTTGTTCTTCATTTATTATAATCTAGATAGTTTATTTTTCCAAAAAATGAATATATTAAATACCGATAAAGTTAAAAATTTATTATATTTTAATAAAAAGTTAATACAATTTAAGATTTTTTTTAGTTTGTGTAAAACATACTGAAGGTATTTTATAAATAGTACTGATATATGAAACAAGAATCCTCTAAGCGAAAAAGGGTCATTAATGTGATGAGGGAAGTAGTTGATTCGTTACATCAAATGTCAAAACAAAATCCTCAATAATCTCTCTCAATTGAAGAGGTGATTAATTAGTAAACACCGATGTGATTGTTTTATTTTTTAAAAAAAAAATATTAAATAAGAATAAAATTAATAAATTAATAAAATTTTAAAGTAAACTTAATGAGATTTAAAAGTTTTGTGATAGTTAGTTTCAGTAAAATATGTTAAAAGTAATTTATAAATAAAATTAGAATAATATATATACATACATATACTATTAATATACATCATTATTATGGTTTTTATTGTAAGTCACTTGCAACTCATCAAGATACATAGAATGTCAAACTATTATGAGAATTTAAATACAAATTTCTTAGTGTTTTTAAGCCAGCTGACCAGCATCCTGTCGACTAAAGCAACTACTCCTCATATTTTGCGTTCATACTCGAACCTTCAGTTTAGGGTGGATGTGGAAATATGGGAACACCTTACAGGCTAGCGGATTTAAAAAGGCCGATCCTACAGGACTGAAATTTTAAAAATATCCTAATTTGCTAGCTCTGGCCTTTAAACTAATGGACTCAGGACCAGCCTATTGGTTTTCGGCTCATTTAAGAAAAAATACTATTTTTCATATTTCTTATATTTTTTTATCAACAACAATGAAAATAAACCAATAAAATTGTTAATTAAATACATAAATATGAATAAAATTCAGTCATAAATACAAAATATCATCATATATAAATATTTATCAACATCTAAAACATTCATTAATAAGGTAACAAGATCCAAAAGTTTCATCTATAATACAAATGTGCAATAAACAAACACTATCATTAATCTTTTGAAACTTCATCATCACTATAATCAATTACTCTTCTTAATAAGTATGTTTTTCTTTCGTAACAAAAATATAAAATTTTTCTTCTTTATAAGAATTTCATTTTTAAATTTTGTAGTATAGCTATTATTTTACTTTAGTTTGAGAAATATTGTTATTGAAACTCATAAATTTTTAATTCAAATTATAGAATCACAAGTTATGTAAGTATAAAAATACTCTCTTATCAAATATATATAGTTTAAAAATATCAACACATATAATATAAATCAAATTATTATTAAAATCCA